CAAGTTTAACTGTTAATAATTCACGAAATAATTATCGATAGTTATTTTCTTTAATTCATCCTTGTACATTTTTCTACACATCATCGCAAGTTTAAATTTCTTAGCCTAAATAGTTTTTTGTTGCAGAGTAAAACTATTTTTATACAAGAAATATTATTTTTTTTAATAACATGATGCATAAACGTATAAAAAGAAATATATGCAGCTCTTTTAATTTACTGTTTTGTACTTTTAAAAGACATTTGAAACTAGATATCTTGATCTATCCCGCTTTCTTCTAAATGAATAAAACATTACGACCAAAATATATCAAGCATTATTCGTAATTATTAGATCATATTAAAAAGTTTTCATAAGCTATTATCTAGATATCTAGCTGCAAATGCAATACGAATGAGTCTGTTGCTACACATTTTTTTTATTAAATTGATAAATAATTATTTGTCTAGTAAAGATTAATCAAAGTCATTTTTGATCATTATCTATAAATAATTTCCCAGTATCATATAATAAGTTACTTAAAGATAATCCTAAAGCAAGGTTCAATAGTTACGAATGAAACAAACAATGAATAATTACGAACCGAATTAATTGAATTTAGAATTAATCGAATTTATACGTTATTAACTACACTTAAATACAAACCGATTTTAAAGTTTTGTTTTGCTTTCCCAATTATTTTTTAAAGTAATGAATTAAAAAAAATCTTTATTTTACGCAAGATAATTTCTTCGATTATTTACTATGCTTATTTTTTTTATTTTTGCAAGAAATTTTCGTTTCTTATTCTAATCAATACGGAGAAATGCTCACCATTAACTTTATACGCATAAATAGAATATTCAATAACAAAAAATCCAAAAACAATTTAAGAAAAATTATTTAAATTAAATTTCGATTCTAATTTTGTTTAACGCGATTCATTTTGTCATTGATTATTTTTTTTTTAAAAGTAAATACCACCTTTCTATAAAAATGTCCGATATTGAAAGTTTAAATTACAAAATTAAAGAAAAAAAAACTTTTTCTAAAATAAAAATTGCTATTTTTTATCCAATTCCATTTGAGTTGCGATGCCAACAGGATTTTTTTCCCCTATCCAATTTTGCGAACGTATCAAAAACATTATGAATGCAATTAAAAATAAGAAAAATCAGCTAACGGGATTTGAAGCTTGGCGAGGACCTGCTGCGAATCTTAACGCCAATTACCAAGCTAAATTAAGGAAAACTTCAAATTTCAGCTTCAATTAGATGCTTTCATAATGGTATACCAACGCTTACACAAGCCCAGACCATTAAACATTATTAATCGTCATTCATCCGCGCGTAATCGGCCGTGCCAAGAAAAAAAATTAATGATGAATTAGTGTTAAGCAAAATAACTGTTAACGCAGTGTTATTATTAACTTTTTTTAATTATTTTATTCTTTTTTCTTCTTCTCAATAGTATGTAAAATTAACTAATTGCGAAATGTTTTCTCCAAAAACCGTAAGCATTTGCAAGGCTTTTAGAAATAGCATTTATTTATTTTTTTGCCAGGAAAAATGATTATACCCAGCTGTTGCCACTGGTATATGAAAAGAGAAAGAAATTGCAAAGCAATTTTTTTTCCTATGAGTATTCGGGTAAATTATAAAAACAAGAATACAGAAAGTGAGAAAATTAATATGAAAAGAAATAAAGTTAGAGGCTTTCAACCCGGGGTGGGGTGCATAATTTATTAATTTTTGCAAAGCAGTAACTTTTAACTATTGTAAGCAATCAAGAATTTCATTATGCCATTTTTTTTCCTTAAAAAGCAATATTCTACAAATATTTTTTCTTGATAATCATTTTGTTTCGATACATATTCTTTTAAATGAAAATAAATCAAGCAGACTAATAATTAAATACCTTCAGATATCGGTTGGAAAGCTTGAATTTGAAAACATCAAGATTTGCAAAACTACTTTTTGTAAAATTTAAAAGAAATAAAACGAAAATTGTCACGTTCTAACATAACCATACTAAAACACAAAATTAAATAGAAGTTGATAATAAAATAATTTTTTAAAAAACGGCGTTTTTCAAAACGTAGAAAATAGTTTTAATATTTGTCAAAAATAAATGGAATAATGTAGTAATCATCATTTTATTACAAAAACTACATTCACTATTGAAAATTCCTTCTAGAGGTTCTGTTTCCATTTTCAAAAGTTCTTCATTCTAAATTTAAACAGAGTAAAATGTTTTTTTTTCTTATTAAAAACGTAATTTATAAACGAAAATATTTTATTTTATCATTGGTTAATAATCTCAGAAAATAATTAAATTTTTTATGATAGGAAGAATTTGAATGGCTGAGTGCAACATTTTAGCTTGATATGAAAACACCAAAATTTATTGCGTAATAATTTAAATTATTACATTAACACAGAAACCCTTACATGAAACACTGTATCCAAAACACAAATAATAACTTTAAAATAAATGTTAATGCAACAGTGCAGCTTGTTATTTTTTTGTTTCAGATATTTTCATGAATTCAAATTTGGTTTCGCTTATTTTCTTATTCGCTTGTTTCTTTAATCTGTGTTTTGATTCAGAAGGATTAACATTTATGAAATCAATGGCCATGTATCTTCTGCTAGAGAATTATAGAATTCCTCCTGCACAAAACGCTATCGTAACAATACTCAACAAATTCATGCCTCATCTGGAATGGAATCACGTTCCATTCGAAATACTTGAATTTCAATGCGAAAACCAGAGAGACTTGGAAAAGTGGATATGTGAGATTCAGAGGAGGGTAGTCTTTTCTATTAAAGTGCGATGCCAGTTTGCTACAAAATTGTAAAATCCAAACGGAATAAGAATTTATTAAAGTTGCGAAAAATAACTCTTTTCTCTCGGCTTCATTATTTTTTTACCCTGCAAATCATGAGCAGACTCTATGGTTTAAAATTTAAAGTAAATAGTAAATTCCTTCATACTTTATTTTATTCATGGCTACACTAATATATTTATTATAGCTTTTCAGTTTGGAGTGGGAATTATATAACATAATTCAACTGCACATAATATTATGAAGACAAATTTATTAAGTTCTCACTAAAAAAAAAATGGACGAATTCACCCAAACCACTACCAGTTACTCAATATATTACAGATCCGTAATTGTTTTTGAAATTATATCTACATCTTTCCAAATACCCAGACGCTTTTACCCAAACCACTGCCAGTTACTCAATATATTATCGATCCGTAATTGCTTTTTAAATTATGTCTACATCTTTTCAAATACCCAAACTACTGCCAGTTACTGAGCTCTTGCAGAAAGAGTTTTCTTTTGAAAAGTGAAAAAAAAGTACTTTTTTTTCCTACGGAAATTTACGCGTAATATTTGAATTTGTCTTGTTACCGACAAATCTTCAACTAATATAATGTGTGATAGTGTAACAGCTCTCGAGATATGGGGAACGACGCAAAAAGTAAAATTAACATTAAGGAGTCCAAACGTTGAACCGTTCTCCTGACCAAACTATTGGTACCATATTTTCAAGATTGCGGCTCCCCCCTACATTTTGGGTGTCAGAGATCTGAATACGTGGTAAAAAAAATGTATGTTTATTCAAAGAAAGTACGTTTCTGTGCACGATTTCGTAATTGAAATACCGTCTGCACTAATTAATTATCATATTTGAGGTCACCCCCTCGAACCATTAAGATTGAGTCTTAGAACGTGAAGATCCTATCATTAGATCAAAAGTTATTCAGGGTGAACAGCTATTTTTGCGCACTGTACACCTGTACTACTTTATTATCCAACTGATATACATGTCTATATAATTGTTGTTACTCCCATGCTTGCCGAATATGTGTCACACTGATTTATTTTTTTAATGTTTAATACAAATTAATATTCTTTTTTCTCTCTGATATATTTAAATCATTGTGTATCTGACTAATGATTATCCTTAAATTGTAGTCAAAAAAGTCCTTTTTTTCCAATTACTATTTATTCAGAGTATTTTTTGTTGCCTGTGAAATTTGAAAATTGGATTTCTATTCAAGTCACGTGATTCTTAAAAAAATCAATGTTATCTTCAAACTAGCAAGTAAAAATGGTGTAATTTTGCAACGCAAATTAGTATTCAATTTCCACCACCCTAAGTATATAGGATGATAAAAAAAACTAGATGATCAGATTTTTAGAAGATAGCATAAACTACTAAGAATTGTAGTAGTGATTTGGAAATGAAATCCTAACGAGCTGGTAAGGGCTCTTGCATATGTGTTTTGAGGAAGAAAATATGAATTCATCGAAGCAAATTGATATTTCAAGACCATAATCACGAAGTTTCTTGGTAATGAAGTTCTCAAAAAGTTTCTCTATTTGACTAAGGCTCGGAAGCACCAATCTTAGCCACAAAGGTTCGCCGCTTTTAGATGCCCTGAGTATTTTTTCTGCTGGAAGGCTTGTATTTTTGAAATTTCTTCTCCCCTTACATTTTCAAAATCTCCCTAAATAAATAAAAAATATTCACAATGTAATGTTTAGAAACTTGTTTCGATTACCACCTTTCTAAATAATAGAAGGTAAACTATTTCTTTCATTTTTTTGTGACGACTTTTTCACAATTTAAAATTATAATTTCAGTGTAATACATTTTTGATGTAAATAAACTACGCTAAAATTTTGAGAACAGTAATTCTATATTGCAAATACTATTTGTATTTCTTATGCTCAACCAACTCTGTAATTATTAGATTTTAAAATTGATATAAAATTGATTTTAATAATAATAATTCAAACGCTACAGGTATTGGTACTTTTGTACCCGAGTAAGGTTTCTTGCTTCAAGCAATTTAAAGGGAAAAAGCAAAATATATTTTGTCTTCAAAATGAAATTAGACAAATTCTGTACTTATAAGCGAACGAAAAAAGTTAATGAAGTTAAATTCTTCTAATGTAAAATGTAAAATCAAAATATAATGTTAAACAAAAACCAATATTTTTTTTATTGAATCAACCGATTGTTGTAATATTACATTATTCATTTCTAGATTTCATCCATACATTTCTTCAAATTGGCATTCCATGTCCACGTTTTTAGTTCAAAAGCAGGCTAAAATAGAAAACATAATTTAACAGCAATGTACAGCTTGCTTCTAGCTTTGTCATTGTAATGTTAACTATGCTAACTTAACATAAAGATACATAAAATCTAAAATAAACGCGACGATGCCCAGTTGCTTCGAATTTTACGCACGGCAGCATACGCAAGCTAACGTAAAATTGCGAAATATCCCTAATGATTTTAGAAATAAATGAAGTTGCTAAATTGTGACTGCTGCAGTATTAAAAAGAATGAATATTTCAATGCAACCTTTTAATAAGCCATTTTCTTCCCATAAATTCCAATTCCCAATGTAGTCATTTCCCAAGCACTCTCCAATTAATAACACATAAGTCAGCCATAATAAAAAGCCCCCATCCCGATCTATAAAACTCGCACAGGCTGCAATACCCATCCCCTTCTAAACAAGGACGGGGCATAATCTAAAATTCTGAAACACATACCCTCTATCAGAAGCGTCCTTCCGAAGTACTTATACTGCCTTAATCTTTCTTTTCCACGATTAAGGTCGTTCCCCATCTCCCATAAATTTGCATTCCTGGTCACGGAATGATATAAATTAGGATTCCAGACCAATTAAGCGAACCTTATTTTTATGCCACCGTTAATCGGGAGGATTAGGTCTTTACCTTTAGGAAGAATTCGCCGATTTATGACCAGGACTGAAAGAAGGGGACACATTAATGGTTAAAGGGGGGATGCCCCCTCCTTCTTGACATGTAACAGCTAGAGATTCCATCAAAATTATTTTTGGAGTGAAATTTTTTGACAGATTCTGCAACTCTGAAAGGTGATAGTGTTTCCACAAAAGCTGTTGTCATCTATCATTTGTTTTTCCAAACTATCTAAAGATATGGGTTTCTTTGACAAAGGAAGAATACGAAAGAATATGCTTCATAGTTTCTTTTTGTAATATACTTAGATATCCAAAAAAAATTAAGTAAATATATTATTTGGTGTAATGATGATTTCAAAGATGATAAATAAATAGGCTTTTATTCCGTAGACTCGTCATGCTCAGTTAAAATAACTTTAAAAATGCGATATTTTTTACACCTATTGCTAATTTGTCATTTAAAATTAAAGGAATTATGGCCATTTAATGGTAAGCCATATTTTTAAATTGAACAGAAAAGTTTTATGAGGGTTAAACATTCTGATTTATAATTCAACAACAAGTTTGCTATGTGTATTTTGCTATTATACAGTAGAATTTTCGGAACATTGTTAAGTTGTTAACTACCTATTCAGCAATAATGTCAAGAATCAGTTTTGAATGAAAATTTCTATTTACGGTATAGAGTTGCAATTACAGCCCCCCCCCCTCCCCCAAGAGAGGAGGCACAGGTCGCGGTCGAGCGGCACGTCGAGGCTCTTCCGTGTCATTTATTTAAAATCAAGTTTGAAATTACAAGGTATGGCAACATCTCGTGGGCTTACAGTATACCATTTTCAAAATTTACAAAATATTAGTGTTAGAACTGGTAGTAACTGGTGGTAACATCAAAGGCCCTTATAATACTAAAACATAAAAACCACGAATACACTAGTGCAACTAGATGATATATGAACTAGAGGATTGAGATAATGAAGCAATGAATATTGAAAAAACAACAATAGATTAAAAATCGAACAGTCGAAAGATAAAATTTAGGAAAAGGTAAAACAATTATTAGGTAGCAGAAGCTATAAAAGGTGTTAAAATTTAAAAGACCAAATACTGTCAAAAAAGAATTAAAATTTAAAATTAGAGTAGACCTTAAGATAGAAATAAAATCTTTAAAACCAAACATATTAAGATGGCCTAAAGCGTGGTTAAAAGAATTAAAAAGATTAAAAGCGTAGGGGTAAATAATAAAAGATAAAGTTTAAAAGTCTGCGCTGAAACTATAAAAGTTGTTAAGACCCTAAGAGTAGTTTAAAGTGGCTTAAAATGAAGTAATGAGTAAATGTTGAAAGCTAAAATCACTTAGTCGGGTTAAAAGAGGTAGTGCATATAACGAGAAGTAAAAGTACAATTTTAAAACATTGTTAAGGTAAAAAGAGTAAGTTAAAACAGGGACAGCTTCGAGAAGCAAATGAGAAAAATTTTAGTTGGTGTCAATCTGGGCCAGCACTTCTTTGATAAAAGTTTGATTAATGTTCTTAGTAACGTTCCTGCAGGCTAATATAGCATAGATTTGATGTTCGGTGTTAATATTGTCAAAATGGTTGCCACGGAGTTCTTGGAATCTGTTACAGTCTCTGACCAGATGAAGAATGTCTTGTTTTTCATTACAGTATTTGCATTTGTCTGATTTGTTGAAGAGTTTGTTTTAATATTCGCCAAACACCCCATGGCCTCTTGAAAATTGATTCAGATGAAAATTGGCCAGCAGTCTGGTAGTAGGAGGTTTCTTGAAGAATTTATAAATTTGCCGACACTTATCTATTTCAAGAAAAATGTGAATTCATAAAAAAAAATGACGGGCCATACGCAAAGTCGTTTGAAAAAAAGCACAAATTTTTTCCACTTTTCGAATAGAATGCGTAAAGAAGCACTTATTTCGTTTCTTAAAATAGAACTAATTTAAATACATACAAATGTACTAATTCTTGTCTATTTTTGTAAGTGAATATCCCAATAATGGTCTGTTGGCGATAGTCTAAGATTTACGCTTGATGATAACCAGAAGACAATACCAATAGATGCACACTACCGCGATTTAGATAGAAAAGTAGAAGATCCTAACAATCACCCGAACTAAGCAGCGCGCTTCCAAACCGCCCAATTGTGCCTGAACTTTTACAGCACTGAAACCATCGGGGAAACTACAACACTAATACAAAATAGAAGAAATTGTCATTTGATCAGGCACGACAAGGAATTGAACCCTGGCCCAAGTCATAAACAACGAAAAATCTACTCATCATACCAACTGGACAAAACTTAATTAAAGTATTTCAATGTAATTAAAGTAATGTTTGCTTTAAAAGGTTTTTTGTTATATGTATATTTTCAGAGAATATGAAGCTCATATTTTAATTTGAAACCAGTTTTAAAGGAATCGCGCTTTTCAAAACATTTCACAAATTTTTCAAAACATCTGTTCTAATTTTATTCGAATTATGCACTTGAACTTGAGAGTTAAGATAAAATAAAAACAATTTTAAAAATATTCTAAAATATTTTTTTAGCCTTATATAGGTATTTTAAGAGAGTATCACGCTAATATTTCAATATGAATCAAGTTACAAGAAACTCACTTTTCCAATTCTTTTTTTTTTTTAAATCGAAAAATGTTCTTTCTAACATTTGTTCGATTTGTGCTCATATTTTTTTGCATGTTTTGGACAATAACATACAATTTTTTTAAATACTCTATAATTATTTTCAGTCATACAAGGGTATTTTCAGAGAATAAGATACCCACATTTTAAGATGAAACCAAGAATCCTAATTTTCTAAAAAATTACGTGTTTTACACATAAAAAAAAACCATTTAAAAATTTCCTTAAATACCTCTTGTCGTGTATTCTTATTTAAAAAAAAACATATGGAATCCATATTTCAATTATAAATCAACCTTCAGGAAATCCCATTTTTTCAAGAATTTTTTTTAAACGATCAATATCTTGTTTTTTTAATTGTTGTTTGTTTCATACACTGGAATTTGCGTGGCTTGCAATAAATAAGATTTTTAAAATATTTTTAAATATTTTTTTTTCATAAATTGGTAGTTTCGAATAATATGATGTCCACATTTTATTATCTCTCCAGTTTTAAAAGAATCCTTCATTTCAAATATTTTTCAAAAATTCGCAAATTGTCGATATTTGCAAATTGTTGTTTTTCGATATATACAATGGATTTCGCGTATTTCAGACTAAATAAATCTATTTAAAAAAATTTCCTTAAATACTTCCTGTCGTATTGGGCAATTTCAGAGCATTAATAAGTCAAATGTTAAATGTTGAAAGTTTAACAGACGTTTTATGATTTTTGATTGATGCTTGTTATCCATGTCTTATTACCTTTGTTTTAGTATTTCAAAAATTTAGGGAGTTTTGCGTCGATAATTGACAACGATTTCATTTATTTTTAAAAAAGGAATTAGAAATGAAAGTTTCATTCTCTTTACACACGCATATCAATACTCATTTTTTTTTATATATAATTCAAAAGAACCTATCTAGAACGAATTTAATTAACGAAGAACAAACAACTCTGATGAAAAGAAAATTATTGCTTTATCGAAAAAGATGTTCTATTAAACCATCTTTCGAATTTTATTCCGAGTTTGCAATGATTCTTTTTAACGTCATTTTATTACCGAAAAAGACTTTCATTAAAGATAAAAGAAAAATTATTTTTAACTTCCTTACTACTTTAAATTGCAAATTTTAGAAATACACTACGGGTACACCATCCAATTGAAGGAAAAAGGAAGAAGACGAAAGATATTTTCCCATTTAGATTAAATTATAGATATTTTTACCTTAAACAATCATTTTCCAAAAATTGGAATTGCATATTTAATAAAGGTTACAGGTCGTTACAATTTACATTGATGGCTTCATGAATAATTTTTAAAACACAATGCGCAAAAAAAGAAGAAAAAAGCTTAAATACCGTTTTACCTAATTATCGGATTTACCTGTATGAACACTCAGTATAATTCGAAGACCTTACCTTAATTATGCTAATTAACCAGCTTTGACGATATTTTAAGTTTTTAAATCAGACTCAAAAACGTGTGTTCTCCGAATAAACAACTTTTTTTACCAGGTTTAGATTCCTGACCCTCAAAATACAGGGAGAATCTGAAATCTGAGAAATGGAGTTCCGACTGTTTAGCGGTATGGTTTGTCAAAAGTTTCGGCCCTTAATATTTATTTTACTTTTTGTTCTAATTGCAATATCTTCTTGAGAAATTTTTAAGCCTATTGAATTGCAAAATTTGATTAATCCAAAGGTAATGTCATGAAAAAACAAAAAGTAATAATAC